ATTGTGCCGTAATTTGGAGTTTTGCTTGTCCAACTGCCGGAGACTTTGAACTGTTGGCGGATGCAAAGACACAAGAACGTTTATGTCGCAGAGGTCAACCGCGGGGTAGTTGGCGACCGGTTGAAACAGTTGTAAGTAGTGTCACGCAACGACAGAAACCACGACTACGCACAAGACGTTCTCCACCCCGAGCGTCTCCGTCTGAAGAGATCCGACCCGGGATTGCTATTGGTGATCCATGGCCATATTTTGCTGAAAAATTGATACATCGGTTTGAGGAAGAGATCAAAAATTTTGGGAATGACGTGAGACGTGATATTTCCTGGTATCAGACAGTGATGAATCTATTCATAGGGATTCTAGCTTTTGCCCTACTCATTTTGGGTGCTACACTGGTAGCGTTTTGGATATTTTTGAGACATGTAATTCGTGGAAAGGTCAAACCGGCCAGAGCGACACTATAGTAAGAAACTGTAAATTTATCAGACTTGATCTTCCATAAACGTCTTTTCTGTTTCCTTATCTATATCTCATGTTCCGGTCAGATTCTTTTGGTTTCAATTTATTCCTTATCTTCTTCTTCTTGTTCAACATCGGTATTGTTTGCAATGACAGTGAACCATCACCTTCAGTTTTACCTACCTTCAGTCTTAACAACGATAATTCCTCCGATACTAGGAACCATGTACCGAAGATAATTTTTTATGTTTGTATAATCGGAAAATTGATTATTCTGTGACAGAAGGTTGCATTCTTGACATTTTACAACCATCATTGGAATAAGTCATTCCAAACAGTCATCTATTAAATAATATGCCTCATCGTGAATAGCCGTTATTTGACTATGAATATAAAGTAAATTTGGTACAAATAATGTAGATTGTTTAAAAATAGCATCAACTGTATTCACAATCGGTATTGATCGAGCTTCAGTGGTGAAGTTACGCGTATTCCTTAAATGGAAATATAATCGTAGTGTAATGGTTGCCTTTCATGAATTTCGATGAAATATTGATGAGCACACGAAATTGCGTTCTATTTTTATTTGATACCATTGGCAACAAACTCTTTTCTGTGCTCCCTCTTCTTGTTCTTCTTCGAAAGAATGTCTACATTCGTCTCCATATGCATAAAAAATGATAAATGTACAGGATCATAAAATTAATTTTAAGTTTCACATATACATATAAGTAACCGGTTCTGCAAGATTGGGTTTCTTATTTGCATGAATGAAAATTTAAAAGAAAACAGTAATAATCCTTCAACAATGGCACATGTTTCATTCGTGCCTCCCGCTCTTTTTTGTGTACTTTTACCCTATGAAACCCTAAAATCCAGATATTTGATAGTCATAGAATAATCCTAAAGAGCTTTGGTATTGACATTGGTAAGACAAATGCCGCTCCAAACTTAGTTATAAATGAGCAGAAGGCTTCCGTTCAGAATTACCGCAGGAAGCTACACGCGTTGCCGTGGTGGAAATCCATGCGAAAGAACAACGTGCGATCATTTAAAGGTCATCCAGGGTAAGGTTTAACCAATCCGTTTCCCTTTTCGAAAATTATCGACCGGAAATCAAACAAATTATTTCCATTTTCAAGTTGAACTTCACAAG